TGAGGAATCTCCAGACTGACTTCCATAGTAGCTTTGACCAGTTTGCATTCCCACCAACAGTGGGTTAGTGTCCCTTTTTCCCCACATCCTCGCCAGCATCTGTTGTTGGTAGATTTCTGTATGTGAGCCATTCTAACCGGGGTGAGGTGAAACCTCATTGTGGTTTTGATTTGCATTTCCCTGATTGCTAGTGATCCTGAACATTTTTTCATGTGCCTGTTGGCCATTTGGATTTCCTTTTTTGAAAAATGTCTGTTGAGGTCCTTGACGCATCTCTTGAGTGGGTTGCTTGTTTTGTTGTTGTGGAGTTTCTTGACCTCTTTGGAGATTCTGGTTATTAAACCAAAAAGATTTTTTTAAATATTTATTCATTTATTTAGTTGAGAGGCAGAGACCGAAAAAGGGAGAAACAGAAAGAGAGGTCTTCCATTTGCTAGTTTGCTTCCCAAATGGCTGCTATGACTGGAGCTGGGCTGATCTGAAGCCAGGAATCAGGCTCCTCTTCTGGGTCTCCCACGTGGGTGCAGAGGCCCAAGCACGTGGGTCATCTTCTGCTTTCCCAGGCCATCAGCAGGGAGTTGGATCAAAAGTGGATTAACTGGGACTTGAATTGGCACCCATATGGAATGCTGGTACCTCAGGTGGATGCTTCACCTATGCCACAGTGCCAACTCCTAGCTATACTTAAACTTACATTACAAAGCTGTTTGCCAAATGATATAATTTGTTGACAGTATCAATTATGATAGTACTCCAATAAATGTCTTATTCTTTTTTACCTTTACAAATTGTGCTCTTTTGCTTTACCTCTTACTAGCTAGATGCCCCTGAGTCATGATTTGATGAGGGAAACTGCATTAAACTTGTCCATGACATTTTCTTTCATGTTCATGGTGTTAAATTGCTTCAGATTTTGCTGAGTTCATACTCCTGACATTGAAGATTCCCCAGCTCTTACCATATTGTGTGAAGTCTTAAAATACTCAATATTTCCATTATCAGATGTCATAAAAATAGTATATTGGACTGTCATCTTTGATTAGGTCCAACTCAATCCTTCAGGCCAGAAGAGAGGAAGCAAAGCCCTGTTTCTGGAAGATGTACCAAACTTTGGCTCTGTGTCTTAAATTGAGGCCCAGAAACAATATTTAAATTTCTCTAAATCGGGGATAATTATTTTGATGTTTGTAGTACTCATATAAATTACTACGTCTTTAGTGTGGGTTGTGTTATGTATGCTAATGTTAATGTCTGAGTGAGAATCCAGAAGATTTTTTCAACTCATCCCATTATAGCAACTTGAACTAAAATGGGAATGGTGTAAAGAGGGCTATTACTTGTAGCCTTCCTCCTGTTATTGGGGCATCCAGTAGAACCCACGATACTGATACAACCCATTATTCATGTTCAGTATCTGTTGGCGATCTTGTTATTGCCAATATCCTCTTTATTCCAATTTTCCTTGTTGAACCTAAATTGATCTTATGGCTGAAGTCCCCCAGGAGCTGTGGTTACCACCAATAGCTACATGATCAGTACCATGGGAGATCAGGCTGGTAATGTAGGGTCACAGCTTCAGGGTCTACATAGGCATCTCATATTTGTCCACCAGGATATCAGTGTCAAGTGCCAGTATCAGTGATGCATTTCCCTCTGTTGGGTCCTCAACTACTCTGGCAGGAGCCAAACAATAGGAGTTTTAGGGGGCTGATTGCCAACGACGCTGATGACCAAGAATTTAAGCTCTCATGGCCTGAAACAAGTCTAGGAGGTCTCCTGGTTATGCCAGGAATTGAAACTAGTTGCTGAGAGGTGGAGTAGGGTGAGATAGGGGGATGAGTCTGGGGCAAAGGGTTTATTTACTTGACAGAAAGGTTGCAGTATATTACTACGTGGAGGTACAATTCAGGTGTGTCGTGGCTGAATCTTACCCTTGAGCTTGGAGAAGATGCATCTATGCTGATGAGACAAAGCTGTCTCCATAGGCCTTGCATTCTGGCCTGTGGTATTGGACTTCTACCAGCAGGCACCCAGGAGTCATTGTTGGCAGCCCACTTCTGTCTTCGATTCAAGCAAAGTAGTTTTAAGCCAGGACTTAACTAAAACAAACAAAGAAAAAGTAGCTATTTTTCCAAGGATGGATTTTGCTTTAAAACATTTTTACTTGTTTGGCTTTCTTTGTTTATCAGTCGGCACTGCTCTTTTGGAAGATAATGTGAGTTCTAGAGACAGGAGAGTGGATCACAATATTTAAGCCTTGGCAGATGCAGGTCTTCTGCTGATCATGATTTGGGATTTAAGAAGTCATTAAAAATTCTCCAACAAATACTTTGCAGGTGGCTGTTAAAATTTTTTTGAAAAGAGGGGGCACTGGGAAAAAAATGTCAGATTGAGCCTTAATCTTATATAAGTATCTTTTCCAGCTTTAGAGAGAAACAGCTGTCAGTCTTCATGCTATTACTTTCCTTTATTGAAAATGCTGGATCCTTATTTTGACGTGGGTATCCGCATGTACGCAAAAGAATAGCTTGACATCATGCTACTTCCCAGTCACTGGTCTCTGACTATCCCATTTTCACTGTAGAGTTTAATGTAGGCAGGATTCCTTGAAGGACTCATTTCTTGGAAGTGCAGGGAAAAATTAGGTCTCCATTAGAAGGTGTTTTTTCCTCTGTGTGCTCAACCATGTAGCAGATGAAGTGTTGAGGACTGAAGGTTATAGTGATGTTACAGGAGTCAGGAGAGTGAATTTCTGAATCAGTCAGCCTGGATTTTGAATCTGGGTTGTTGTGAGAGAAGTCAAGAGGGAAAAAAAACAGCTAGAATAATCCATATTATTATTAGATAGATGCAACTTTTGGAAAGATCTGATGCTCCTAACTATATTAATAAACATCAGTGTTGGAGCAGCCAACTGTGTAGAGTATCCCATATGGCTTTCATGGATAAATAAGAACACTCAAAATTTCAGTTCCCCTCTATAAATTTGGGATAAAATATTTGTCTCACAGGGATATGATGAGGATTTTAAAAGCTAATATGACCGTCTGTAGCCCAGCAAAGGATGGGGTGGATCTAGAAGGCCATCACAATTTATACCATTCTACAACTTGTGAACCATTTTGGGTGTGTGCATGTGCACACAAGCATAAATAATGCTGTGCCCACCAAAACTCAGATGACAAATGCCATACAGTAATTTGAATAAGAACAGTTTAATATAAAGAATCAAATATTACACAGAGTTGGAGTAATGGTGGATTGGCTAGTAAGAAGTGGATAGAGCCCTTGAGAAGGTTGAGATGTCAGAGAGAGGGAACAGCTGCAATTCCCCAAGGACTGAGATTGAGTGTCCCAAAAGAGACCCCTCTGTCTCCAGACTGAGACCCAGACCTTGTTGGAGAGGACATGGCTATGGTTCCCTGAATGGCATGAAAGTCACTGTGTCACATTGGCTGAACTTACTAGAAATCTGCCCTTTGGCATTTGTGAGCAGTTTACCCTCTGTTGCTGGGGAAAACAGCATTCATGGGAAGCTAGTCTGCAGTAGCCTTCTTGAGCCCATTGGAACCAAGAAAAACTTTCTGCTGAAGTGTATCTTCAGCGCCCTCTATTGACAAAACCAAACACAACGCCCTCTGGCAAATGACAAGTCATTCAAAAGAACCACTTTTCACAAAGTGGGCAATGAAGGGTGACTTCGGAGCTTAAAGGCAATTAATTGTCAACTGGCACAGATGGTGATAAAATAAATCCTTAATTCTGAGTGACTGTCAGAGGATCAGTGCTCTGTTCCCCAGGCAGAGCCCCCTTTCAATAATTCACAGTAGTAGCCAATGCGCAGCTTTACCTACTCAATGTTTCCTTCCCCTGAGTGTTTTAAGCCATGTCTCCCTTCAGAGACTACTTGTGTAGTCCTTTGTGAAAATGAACTCCAGTAGTGATAAATGTGGCCATCGCACAATTAATAAATTGATTAAGCCAAGCAAAGAGAAAGCATTTTTCCCAATTTGTTCCCAGGACATTGTTTTGTTAGAATTACCAACAATAGGATACTTTGATCTCAAATGTGTTTCTGCAATCTGATAACAGCTTTTTAATCTAGCACATTGTTCTTTTATTTTGTCTTACTCTGAATGAATTAAAGACACTAGACAAGAAAATGAGGCCAATGAAATTGACTCTGTGGACAGTGTGGAGCAAAGAAGAGTGTGAACAGGACTGAGCTGTAAGGGGGTTCAGGAAGGGCAGGAGGATATCTGGCACGTAGTAAGGGCTTAATAAATGATAGTTGGACTCTTGCTGCTGTGGCTTTCGCCTGTCATCTGAGTGATGAGTGGTCACTCTCTCTGAGGGAGGTCACTGAAGGATCCAGGAGAAATAATCAGAAGGCAAAACCAGTCTGATTTTTAAAAAATTTTTAGCATCAACTCAACAGGATTAGATAAAAGAAGGGAGGGTGACTTGAATTCCTCAGCCCAGGCCCTGCCTTAAGGCTCTAGAGCTCATTTAGGAGTCTTATTAGACCAGAAAACCCAAGTCTATTGACCTACTAGTAGAGGTGGAAAGAGAGGGCATGATTAATTTGATGTCTGCAAATGGGGTGAGAGATAGACAAATGCCACACAAGGTCACTGAGCAACTGCAAGCGTCTTCTCCCCTCTCTCTGGCAACTTTAGCTGTGCTTACAAATGAAGTTGTTGCAAGAGGGAATGTCAGTTCGCACTTCCTTTTCTACATGTGTTTGTTCAGTGCCTCCTGTGTGTGAGGGGACTGAATAAGGCTCTGTGGCCTCTCAATCAGAACGGGGGTCTGGAAGGCGTGCTGGGAGACACACAGCCTTATTGCTGTCCAACTCTATCCAGTAAGTGTCCTTAACAGCACACACGGCATCTGATCCCACCTTTCCAAAGGAAAAAAAAATACTTTGTTTTCATGTGTAACCTCTTTGTGGCTAAATCTGAAGGATAATGGCATCCCCTGTTCTACTTGACTTCATCAATCTCTTGTAGGTATTCTTTCTCCGTCCTGCACTTTTCACTCACTCTTGGTGTTTCTTCTACAACTGAGATTTCTTATTTCTGTGTTCTCTCTGAAAATTCTCCCCTGGGTATCCTTGAAATATTGATAGTCATCATGGCCCTCATCTGTACTCACACCATATACTTGTTCTGGATAGATTTAATCTCTTTATAGTGACTAGATGACCATTTGCCTATAGCTGGTGTTACCCAGGTTGAAAAAGTAAGACCAGGTAGTTCTCATGAATTTTAGCTTCTTTTATTTGTTAACTAATTGGACATTGTGCCTTGAAAATCCCTCTGACATTGTATGCAACCTGTTTCAATCTATTCCTGCCCCATGTTCTCCTGTCTTAGTAAGCGGTACTCTATCCAAGCCAGAAATATGAGTGTTTCACTCCTGGCTTCATCAAATGGCTAATTCTGTTGGTTCTACTTCCTTAATAGCACTCAAATCAGTCCACTTCTTTCTTCTAAAATTTTTTTAATTGAAAGAGAGAGAGATAGAAACACAGATTCTACAACTGCTGATTCACTTTCCAAATGCCTGCAACATTTGGCAAGGCCAAAGCCAGTAGCCTACATCTCCATCTGGGCCTCCTACATGGGTAGCATGGATTCAAGTACTTGAGCCATCAGCTGCTGCCTCTCAGGAAGCTGGGCTGGCAGGAGAGTGGCTAGGACTTGCACCAGGTTCTCTGATATGGGATGCAGGTGTCCATATGCCAGTTGTAGTTTCAGCCCACTCTTTTACATCATTGTGGAACTGTGGTAGTGGAGATCACTTTTGTCTGTATTTCCACAATAGCTTGATCTCTTAATCTATATGCTGCAGTAAGACTTTACTACAGTCTAATAGGATCATGTACTGCTCTGCAAATCTTCAGTAGCTTCCTAGTATCATAGGGATCAGTGCTAGCCCCTCCTGTGGTCCACAACAGTTTCTATGAACTGAAGGCATGCTTCCCTTTCCAGCCTTTGACTTTACACTCTAGCATCAGTGGCACATAGACCTGAGGTTGTTATGAGTGTTGGACTAGTTGACAAGGGGGAGAGAATATCCTAGGTGGCAGAAAGGGCACAAACAATGCTGCAGAGGCAAGGAGGTTTAGGGTGCACCTGGAGCAAGCCTGTATATCAGATAAGAATGGGATGCAATTCTGGAGTCAGGTGTGGTTCAGTCCTTAGGTACGGAGCTAATTTCTTCTTTTAAGTAATGAGGACTGAATGAAAAGGAACTTGTATGTGTATGAAATGATCAAAGGTGCTGTAATAATATTCATATGTCAGGCAGTATGAGGGATGAATTGTTGTGGAGAAAGAGCAGGGCCTGATTAAGAGGTTAGGCTGTTGGCAGTCTTATGGGAGTTTGTAGGCAGTGGGGTAGGTAGAATGGTGACAAGGAGGAGAGAGAACTGGGAACAGATTGAAGACAAGGAAGCCCAAAGTGGATGCCCTAGATTTCAAGAGTATAGGAAGAGGGCCTTGTTTAAAGTAAAGGGATAAAATTGTGCCAGTGGCTTGGAAAAATGTGAATAGAAGAATCGCCATTGGAACTGTAACATGTGCTGGTAGCAGATTTATTAGGCACATTTGGTTTCTCTCTGTGGTGTTCTTAGAGCAAAAGGAAAGCAGTAGAGATTCAAAGGAAAGAGAGCAGGTATTTTCTTCAGGAGCCCTGTAGGCTTGTACAATCTGTAAGAAATGGAACCTTTCAGATTTGCTCGAGAAAGATACTTTTGTACTTGGATAACTGAAAACTGGAAGATTTCATCATTTCCTCTTGTGACCAACAAAGCACCTGTGGGGGAATCAAGATAACAGGTTCGTGATGGTAAATGGCAGAGTTACTGTTAAAGACAGGATGGGGTTTCTGTTCTAATGATTGGATAAAATCCTATGGTTACTATAATTGCGCTATTTGATGGTGTCTATCCTAACACATTTTCCACTGAGGTCTGGGTTCTGTACTTGGAGTTTCCTTTGTAGCAGATGGTGTCATCTAGTGTAACCAGTTTGCCAGCTCTAGGGAAGGCAAGTACTATGGAGAGAGTGGGATGGAAAGTGTATGTGACTACCTTCCTTGAAAGGCTTATGGAGTATGTATCTTAGCTGCACCTGTGCCTAGCATGACAAGACTGGCTACACCTGAGAGCTGAGTGTGGCACATTCTTGCCCTTCTCGCCACCCACATTCCTAGGCATTGGATTGGTCTCACGTACCATATTTTGCACGAGAAGGAAGGCTGCTAGGCCTTTACTGACTGACTGCTTGGTTTTTACTTCCTTCCCCACCTGCAGAGCTGAAAGCTTTCTTAGTCTGTGCCTGCTTTACAGATGAAATCATTTTGAGAAATACATAGTTGTCAGCTACTTCCTATTTTCAAATGGAAGAAGGGCTGAACAGTTGTTTTCTGGTACTGAACCTCTGCAAGCCTCCTATTTTGGCACATTAGAGATTTTGTTTTTAACTTTTACTTATTTGACAGAAATCGTAGGGCAGAGAGAGGGAGCTCTCATCCACTGGTCCACTCCCCAAATAGCCCCAAGGACCAGAGCCAAAGCTAGGGTCTGGGAACATAATCCAGGTCTCATTCATAAGTGGGAGGAACCCTATTACTTGAGCCATAACTGCTACCTCCAAAGGCATGTATTACCAGGATGCAGGAGTCAGGATCCAGAGTGAGGAATCTAACTCGGGTACTCTGATACAGGACACAGGCCCCTCAAACATTAACTAAAAGCCATATTATCTTGAATGTTGGTTACACAGATTTTGGAATTAGAAGCTTCTTGTGATTACAGCTGATGGATCATTTTGCTTGACTTGGGTTCTCTTAATAACTGTCACCTCCCTCGGGGGAAGTGTAGTTTGCAGAATCTTTGAGAGACTTAATTGTCCTCATTATGCCTACTTGGACCAATGGAATGGGTAATGTTAGATTTCTTGTTCTCAAAGGAATAAATACTAAATTTTGTATAATTTATGTCATTCTTACCATAATGCCTCGGACAGTCCCGAGGCTCCTTTGCCCCCTCGATTCACACATTAGCATCCATTCCACTTAGAGTAGAGGGCCAGTTGTCAGGAGATGCTGGAACACATCTTCAGATGCAACCCCTTCCTCTAGTCAAGGGCCTTCGTCCTCAAGGATCTTATCTTGTAGCTCTTCTTTTCCAATGGGTTCTTGACATTTCTTGTGGCCTAGCTCACCTGTTAGAAAAGGGAGGAGAGCTGGTTTTGGAATGATCAGACCAGTAGTCTGAGTATCATTAGTACTTTTTTTCAACTTTCATTTAATAAATATAAATTTCCAAAGTACAACTTTTTGATTATAGTGGCTTTTCCCCCCATAACCTCCCTCCCACCTGTAACCAGCCCATCTTCCACTCCCTCTCCCATCCCATTCTTCATCACGATTCATTTTCAATTATGTTTATATACAGAAGATCAATTTAGTATATACTAAGTAAAGATTCCAACAGACTGCACCCATAAAGACACACAAAGTATAGAGTACTGTTTGGGTAGTAGTTTGACCGTTAATTCACATAGTACAACACATTAAGGACAAAGGTCCTACATAGGGAGCAGGTGCACAGTGACTCCTGTTGTTGATTTAACAATTGACACTCTTATTTATGATGTCAGTAATCACCGAGGCTCTTGTCATGAGCTTCCAAGGCTATGGAAGTCTCTTGAGTTCACCAACTCTGATCTTATTTAGATAAGGCCATAGTCAAAGTGAAAGTTCTTTCCTCCCTTCAGAGAAAGGTATCTCCTTTGATGGCCTGTTCTTTCCGCTGGGATCTCACAGAGATCTTTCATTAAGGACATTTTTTTTTTTTTTTTTTTGCCACAGTGTCTTGGCTTTCCATGCCTGTGAAACTCTCATGGGCTTTTTAGCCAGATCCAAATGCCTTAAGGCTGATTCTGAGGCCAGAGTGCTGTATCATTAGTACTGACCAATTCTTTCCTCCCTCCCTCCCTCCCTCCCTCCCTCCCTCCCTCCCTCCCTCCCTTCCTTCCTTCCTTCCTTCCTTCCTTCCTTCCTTCCTTCCTTCCTTTTGAAAGTCAGAGTTACACAGAGAATGAAGGAGAGGCTTTACCCGCTATGCCACAGTGCCGGCCCTAACCAGTTTTTTTCCATTTTTTCATTTCTGCTTCTCTGTATCATTTTTGTCTCTTGTGTATGTGGATTTTCTTCATGTGATTAAGAGAAAGTCAGACTTAAATAGTCCAAGGTTAGTTGCCCTATACTGGCAGAGGTAGGGAATATCTGGCCCATGGACAGTATAAGGCCTTCAAAATCATTTGGTCTTGCCTTGCCAAGGCAGCTACAGGTGGGACTTGAAATTCAATACGTGTTTAGCAGGCTTATTTCTAAGTTGCTAATTTAGGTGACCAGTGAAGGATGTTAGAAATATTCAAATGGCCCTTGGCAGAGAAGACATTTCCCACCCTTGCTCAGGGAAAGAGAAGCCTTCCTGTTTGTCCCCTCTGCAAGCCTCCAACACCCCCTCCTCTGCTTTGTACTCTAGGAACATATAGAGAAGAACTCTTGTTGCTTTCTGGTTCACTTTTGATGAAGGTAAGTTTACATGACTTCTCTCTCCTGGTGAGTTGGGCTGTAGGTGATGATATGGTATGGGCAGAAAATAGATGAGTAGTGCGACAGTCCCCAAGCCAGTGGAGACCAGTGCCGCCTGTGAAATGTGATTGAAGGCTGTGGAATTTGAAGGCATCACAAAGATGTAATTCACAACTCCTGATTTATTCTTTTTGAGTCTATGTACTTTCCTGTCTTTCTGTACCTACAAGAGACACAGAATTTAGCAGTTCTAATACGGACATTACAGTTTAAGCTACCTTGATGGGTACTGCAGTCAGTAAAACCTGTTATAACTAACACAAATTGGAAATATAGGTTGGTTGTATGGTAATTTGAACAAACGTAGAGATAAAGATGATGATTATGATGATTAATGATGATAGTATTTTGATAGTTGCTATAGAGAATATCACTACTTTTACTATCTACCATCCTTTCAGGGTGATGAATGCTTCTACATGCATGAGGCTTTCGGCAGCCATGAGGCTATGCAAAGAGCATAATTGACTCATGGCCCCACAGTCTGTACTCTGAAAGTCATTATGACTTTTTTTCTGTGTGTGCCAACAACATGCTTCCTGCTGGGAAATACTTCCCGCCAGTATTTGAGAGTGGCAGAGACCCCAAGGAGCCCCATTTTTAGGAAGCAGTGCATGTTCTCATGAACTTGCTGAACTTTCATTAAGCCTGCCTTGTAGTATAAGACTTTTCTATCTCAGTCTCCTATGCTTAGAGTCAGATCTGCATTATAGTCTTATGGTTCTCCCTGCATGTCCAGTGCCTCTTCCCATTTTATCTCACAGGTATTGCCTCCAATATAACCTTGCTTATGAATTGTGAATATAATATATACATATATGTCAAATTTGCTATTTAAACAATTTTAAGAGCACAATTCTGTACCTTAATTATATTCACAATGCTGTATAACTATCACCACCATCTATTTCTATTTCCAAAATTTTTCAGTATCCAAAATAGAAACTTTTAGCCTGTGTAGCAGTACTTCTTATCTTTATAAATCTGTAGTACTTCATTTCTGTCTTGGCATCTACTTCTCAGGAGACGCTAAGACAATCCCATTTAATCTTACTTAAAAGTATTCAAGAGAAATGTGATCCCTGTATTCCAAAGAGGAGGCTGAGGCCCCAAGATGTTACATAGCCTACACCAAAGCTAATAGCTAATACTTGTTTGAGTCAGAACTGAAACCCAGATCTGTGTGCTTCTAAAGCTCATGCTCTTTTATTTTAAAATATGGGGTCTTTTGCATTTTTTTTTCAAAGAATTTGTTTATTTATTTGAGAGGTAGAGCTACAGACAGAGGGAGAGATAGAGAGAATGGTCTTTCATCTGCTGGCTCACTCCCCAAATGGCTGCAATGGCCAGAGCTGAACCTATGGTGGAACCAGGAGCCAGGGGCTTCTTCTGGGTCTCCCACATGGATACAGGAGGCCCAAACACTTGGGCCATCTTCTACTGCTTTCTCAGGCCATAGCAGAGAGCTGGATTGCAAGAGGAGCAGCTGGGACTGGAACCAGCACCCATATGGGATGCTGACACCACAGGCAGAGACTTACCCTACTACGTCACAGTGCCAGACCCTAAAATTCATACTCTTAAACACAACTTTTGGCTAACAATTTATTGGTTTAGACACAAGCCTCAGAAAACCAAAAATAATCACTCAGACTAAAAGACTGTATTGGGAAGGAGGTATATGGGGTCAGTCAGGAAAATGCATCTTTGAGAGATTCTACTCAGTAAGAATCCTCTAGAAATCATAATTCTCTAACTGCACCTCTACCAGATTATGTTGTGCCTTCCTTCTCATTGTTGCTTACATTCCAGTGGCATGTTGCTAACTTGTTTAAATACATTACTTCATTTAGCCCACATGAAAACCATAGGAAACAAGCACTGTTCTATTTATCATTTTTCAGATCAAAAAACTGGGGTAAAAAGAAAGTCTGTTTATCAGGAAGAAAATGATTTATGAGTATGGTTTTTGGAACTCTGAAATCAAAGGGGGGGCTAATGAATTGATTTTTTTCCTTTATCTTTATTGTTATAAGCTAACACATATGCTTTAACAAAGCTATTGTTAATAAATCCAATGGTACATAAGGGCTTATACTGAGAAGCAATGTTCCTGGACTTTGCTTTTAGTCTTGGTCTTTGGGGGTGACTGTTGCACTGTCAAACTTGTCAAAGACATTGCACAGCATTGTTAATACATTCCCTTCTGTTCATCTTATGTTGTTTTGGTGATTACGCTTGAAATGTCATAGCTAACTCATTGAGACCTGGCCTGAAGACCTCTTTTATAGCAGGCTCACCAGGAATAGAATTATTCTCAGTATTGCAATAGTTAATGTTCTATAAGTTACTATAGACATGAAATTACTAAGTATGGAAACATTACCCCTACAGAAAATATAGGCTTAGATTCCTGTGATTTTCTAATCATAATACTTTAATCAATTGAAGAATGTATAACCTTGTTTGATGTGTGTTCTTATTTAAACATACATTATTTAATATGTAGTGCTGGTCCATTAACAATGAACTTATTGCTAATAAATCTAACTCAACATGAACAAAGTTTATCTAATGCATGTATTTTCTCTGTCAGACACAGTCACAGTTTTCTTATGTTTAGGAAAACTGAACAGCATTTCAGCACTTTCTTGGGCAGCTATATAAATAGCAAAATCAACACCAAAAAGCACAATAATGTAAAAAGTGTTGTGTTAAATAGACTGCAAAAAGTACACTTATTTCTGGTATGGGAGCTGAAATAAGAAAGCAGAACATCTCTTTGTCTGAACTCAGCTGGGATCATGTACTTTGGACAATTCAAAATTTTTTTTGCTACTTTGAGTATATATGCGAATGAGTGTGAAAGCATAGCAGACATTGATTTTAGGGCTACAAATAAATGTTAGTGAGTAGGCAAATTGGCACATGTGGAGTCCATGAGTAATGAAGATCAATTGTACATCATTAATGGGCAATCATTGAAGGGAGTTCCCTTCTGTTCCAAATCTCAAAACAGATCAGCCAAGTTGCTCATTCATTCCCTAATATTTTCCCAGATACTCATTCAGCAATAAAAAGAATCATTGAGTAGGTGATTCTGATGCTCAGCCAAATTGTGATGTTGGCCAGCCTTTTGATTTTATATGACAGCTGATAAGTGGAATTCCCCTTGCTGGAGGTTGCACAGCATGCTATGCATAGTTCAGGGGGAAACCCGGTACTCTTGGTTATATCCCAATGATTCTGTACTCATCCATTTTCATTTCTATAGTGAAATACTTGTGGCAGGCTACTTTATAAAGACATAAGGTTTACTTCAGCTCATGGTTCTGGAGGTACAGGATCAAGGAGCTATATCTGAGAACTCTGTTGCTGTCAGAGTCCCAAGGTGGCACAGAGCATTACATGACAAGAGATGGGAGCACATGTACTAGCCTGTGTATATGCTTGGTCTCTTTTCTTCTTTAGAAGTTATTATGTTCAGTTACAGAAGCACCAATGACTGTATTTACTTCTGATGTTTTACTGAAGGCCCTACCTGTAAACACCATAGTTCAGTGAAGTTTCTACTTTGCTAATACTATTCACTTAAGATTTTGCAGATTAATTGTTGAAATCTTTACTTTGTATAGAGCTGGTCTTCTGCATATAAAGTTAATTAAAAATGAATCTTAATGAAGAATGGGATGTAAGAAGGAGTAGGTGGTAGGACGGGAGTGGGGGTGGGAAGGTGGGTAAAGGGAAAAAACTGCTATATTCCTAAAGTTGTACCTATGAAAATTGTATTAATTAAATAAAAAAATTAAAATAAAAAATTTTGCAGAACTCTGTGAGTTCAAGGTATACAAGCCATAGTCAATCATAGCAGTCTTTGTGGTTAATATAGCTTAATATTTCTTTGATAAAGTGACCATTGTACACAGATCTGGTTGAGGTTACAGTAATTAGCTTGTGTTTATAGTAGATCAGTTCTAGTAGTTACTGAGCTCCTGTTTTATGACTATGTGCTCCAGAGACAGGGGAGCTGTGTTTTATCTACCCAGGACCTAGCACAGAGATGGCCACATGGAAAATTTTCAATAAATTTTGGGTGATTGATGAAGAATCAGCAAGTTATGAATGAAATTTAGGTTACTCTAGGATTTCTTTCACTAGAAATGAATGGAATACACAGTGTATGAAGTCCTAAGGGAGATCCAGGAGAATGATCAGCTCCCTAGGATGTTTATAGTCAGAGGATCTGGAGTTGGGCTGGCCTGGACTCATGCCCTGGTGTTATGACCCAGATATGCAACCTCCCTATACCTGAGTTATCCTCCCCTGTAGCATAGGTGTGTACTTATGGGTTGGTTGTGAGGATTAAGTGTGATCACAATAGTTTGTGTTTAATGCCTCAAAATGTAGTACATCCCCAGTTAATATCAACTGTTGGTTTTCTTTTCTCATTGAGTTGATCAAAGCATGAACATTGGTAGCCATTAGATCACAGGAAGGTCTGTCTTACGATCCCAGGCCTGTGGCAGGCGCCATGGCTTACTTGGCTAATCCTCCGCCTGTGACACTGGCACCCTGGGTTCTAGTCCCGGTTGGGGCACCGGGTACTAGTCCCAGTTGCTCCTCTTCCAGTCCAGCTCTCTGCTGTGGCTTGGGAGGGCAGCGAAGGATGGCCCAAGT